ATATGAAACTTAATACTTTCATTAAATTCACGTTTTAATTTATAAATATGTTTTCAATAAAAACAAAGCACAAATACTTATATTTTTATCAGATACAAAAAGACACATGCAAATTCATATCCGGATCACTAGAACGAAAAGTCTTGACGTTACCTGACGTCAAAAGCTGAATACTAGCACATGAAACTTTTCTTAACATAGTACCCGTTTAACTCAATACGTTTCTTATGTCGCTTTAACCAGTCATAAAGATGTGCACAAACGTTCAGGTTTCATACGTAGAATAATATTTAATAATGCCTGTCTCATATCCTGCAATCACTCAACCTCTGTCTGCGTTAAAATATACATTTAATTTGAGCTAGATTTAATAATTTAAATATTATCCTTGTTTGAAATTTCTGTGAACCTGAGATAATAGTTCAATCAGGTATCATTATAAAGGATTTCTGTGATGTCACATGACTGTGTTGATCACGTGGCGGACATTTATGTCATTCTTAAATGTTGCACAAAAATCGAAACGGCACAAGTGCAAAACAAAATTATTGTGCAAAGTTTGTTATAGAGATCAATTCATCGTGATTTCTGGTACATAAAAAGTGCTGGGGGCAGGTTTAATTTTTACTTCTTAAGAAAATATTTTACAAGAAATTCAACTTACCAACATAAGAAGGGGTATTTTCCACTCTTTATCGCGATTTATAAAAATGGATAAACTACATACGATCTCTCAGCAAAATTCAGTTAGAAGACATAATTCTCTTTTAGATTCACGCAGAAAATCTTTAATTTATCCTTGTCTTTCACTTGTGCCAGTCAAATATAAACACGATTCATAAATTTTTATTCTGTCTACAGATGTGTACGGGGAGCGTTTCACACATAATTTTTCGCTATTGTTTGAATATATGCATATTGGACATGCAAAAGGAAAAGGGATATCGATATTTCAAATGTTCAATATCATAACAGCACATGGAGCATAAAAACTATCCCAGCACTTGAATTAAAACAACAACGCTCCCAAAACATTTACATGCCATGTGTAAAAATTATGACACTTTACCCGTCATGTAACTTCAAGTATGCAGTGACTTGACCTCATATTCTATTATGACGTCATATCTCGGTAGTTCAGAGAAGTAACTTCAGTTTAAATAGTTTGATATTTTACTGGCAGCCTTATCCAAGCCGCGATTTTCTTTACTGAAATACGGCAAAGCCACGTTACGGAATTCATTTTTACAGCACTGCAATCTCGGAATGGCGGTTAATCTATCACGCATGTAATCCTGTAAACTGTTCCTTCCGTCCGATTGATTGATTGATTGATTGTTTACTGTTTAACGTCCCTCTCCAGAATATTTCACTGATATGGAGACGTCACCATTGCCGGTGAAGGGCTGCAAATTTAGGCCTTTGCTCGGCACTTACGGCCTTTGAGCAGGGAGGGATCTTTATCGTGCCAACTTCCGTCCGAAAATATAATATGCCACATCAAAACTAATGAATCGGTTCTTTAACTATGTTTTATCGAATGTTTACAAAATGTATATGTCTCTGTAAGTGTTTTTCCGATGTCTACGCAGATTTTTTTCTCTGACCTGCCACTGCTGCACCAATTCCGAAAACGTCATTTTTTTAAACAATTTCGATCCTGTGTTAATATGTTCTAACTTTGATTGCTTAGCAATTTTGAAACTTTGAACGTTCAAATTTTGCAGATTTGACGTGATAATCTCGGCCAACCTCATAATGAAAATTCTTTCTGATTTCCGCAGAATTTTACAAGATACAAATGAAATACATAAAGGAATGAATATTTTTTTTATTTACTGTAAATGTATTATATTTAGCGTGTACGATATTTGGCGGAAATTGATTTTTGAACGAGTTGGCGTAGATTTGATTTAGCGTATTTCTCAATGTTCTTATTTATGTATATATTTGCAAGACATTTCGCGTTGTACTTGAATTAGCAGAAGTTCCTTTCCGCCAAAAGCGCTAAAAAGAATACATCGCCAAAAGTAATACGTTTACAGTAAATTTTGAGGTGATCCAGGTATCAATTCCAAGTCTAATTATGAAGCCATAATTGAAATTAAACATTTGATATTGATTTCATTTTTTCAATTTTTCAATTCAATAAACCAGAAGTGAAAAAAGAATTAGATAGATTACACGATCAGTGCGTACTGGTTCCTGCCGACAAAGCAGGTAACAACATTGTCTTCGTTTGTAAGGCTCATTATATAAATTGCATTCTAGAAGAACTTGGTTTTAATTCTACAAGTGGTAATCCTACTTATACATATACTTCTCTTTCTAAGGAAGAAATTCTTCAAAATCACCTGTCAGTTTTGAATACTTTTAATATTCCACAGAGCCAAAATGAATTTGATCTACCTTATATATATTGGATTCCGAAACTTCATAAGAATCCTTACAAACAAAGATACATTGCAGGTTCCAGTAAATGTTCAACCAAGCCTCTTTCGTTACTTCTCACTAAAATATTGACAGTAGTAAAGGAAAAACTTCAAGAGTACTGTACAACTATATATTCAAGAAGTGGTGTAAATCAGATGTGATTACTTAAAAATTCTAAAGAACTTTTGGACAATTTGAAATCACAAGACTTTACAAAAATCAACAGCATAAAAACTAACGACTTTTCAACTTTATAGACAACAATTCCCCACGACAAATTATAATCCAGGCTTTTTGATATCATTGACAGCTGCTTCTTCAACATAAATGGAACTCGTAAATTTACTTACCTCGTCATTGCTCATTTGAAAAATTATTCTGTTAAAACAAATTCTGATTACACACATAAGTACTCTGAAGTTGACATCAAGAAGATGGTTGAGATTCTGATTGACAATATCTTTGTGGTTTTTGGAGACCAGGTATTCCAACAATCTATTGGAATTCCCATGGGTACAAATTGCGCTCCGTTATTAGCAGACTTATTTTTATATTCATATGAAGCAGAATTTATGCAAAATCTTTTATGTGAAAAGAAGAAAACACTTGCTGTGGCCTTCAACTCGACATTTAGATATATCGACGACGTATTGTCAATTAATAATGATAATTTCCATTCCTGCGTCGACACGATATATCCTGGTGAGCTTGAGATAAAAGATACCACAGAGTCCGACACTTCTGCTTCATACTTGGATATTTTACTTGAAAAAAAACACTAATGGTAATCTAACAACCAAGCTATATGATAAACGTGATGACTTTTACTTTTCTATCGTCAACTTCCCTTACTTATGCAGCAATATACCTTCATCACCTGCATACGGAGTATTTATATCTCAGTTGATTCGATACGCAAGAGCATGCTCTACGTATGAACAATTTCTTAAACGAGGTAAATTATTGACAAGCAAGTTGATGAAACAAGAATATCAACAGTCTCGTTTAAAGTCATCATTTCGGAAAGTCTATGGTCGATACAAAGACCTTGTCAGCCAATACCATTTATCATTGAATGAAATGCTGACTGACGTTTTTCATACCAATTGTTAGTCCATTATTTATACACTGAATTGACCACGGATTTTTCCGTTATTTCCTGATTATGACAACGAGCACACGGCGGGTGTGACCGGTCGGCAGGGGATGCTCACTCCTCCATGGCACCTGATCCCACCTCTGATGTTTCGGAGGTCCGTGTTTGCTCTGCTCTTATTTTGTATATTTGTTTAATGGACGTTGAGATTGAATACTGTTCGTTATTTCCATATCCTTCTTCACATTCAGTCAAGGATTAGAAATATACTAATAATAAATATCAATGACACAAGTTTTATTCAATTTTTAGCTTGTCCACGAACTTTACGGACAACCCTCGTAGATATTGTCAATCAGAATATCATTATACTAACATATATAAAAACAAGTTTTGGATCAAGCTCCACTTTATACTTTTGTTACAAAACCGCCCTACAATGTCATCAACAAATACATTTACAACAGTATGAAATTAACGACAAGAAATAGAACGCATTAGCAAATTAATAATTTCCTCTCCTCCACCGTGTGTCAAACCCTGTCTTCCATTTCGGCATAGAATTCCGGATAATAATACTTAATACAATATATAATGAAATCATCGTATCTTTTGAAACATGCAAACAAATCATTTTGACAGACATATTTTTCAATGAATTTATAGAGAGAGGATTTTTTTTCTTGATAAGTTCTGATTACGATTATAATTGTGGATTGATTTACGCAGGGGTTAAATCAAAACAGAACGACATTTTAGATTAGTTTTTTTAATAGAATAGCATCAAATTTAAATGTTGCTTTACATCACCAGTATTTTCAGATGATGTACATATATATAGTTATGTTTGAAAAAAGGTACTTGCACATCCACTGAAATTTGATTGGCTTACATTTAAGAAAATAAGTTGCAAATGTCCAATATAAAGTATTTTCTTAATTCAGTGAAACATACATACATACCTAATTTAAACAGAAGGATGGGGCATTTGAGGAACATATGACAGTATTGTCCAAGTTACAATTCGAAGAAGTTTCGAGATGACATTCCTTGCTAGCGTTCAATCTTCTACCTGTTATAGGTTCTCTATCGTTTATTTAGGTCATGTGATTTAAATACCCTAATTTTTATTGGGGATATGGGTATCTTTGACAAAGGTATCTTCTGAATGGGTTAATAATAGATAATAAAAGGGTATTGTAATTGAAACCTGCGCTATAAGTCATCAATCCTAAATCTAACCACTGTGCCACGCAGGCGATTTTTGTGTTTTGAAATTAGTTTTAAAGTTAAGCAGATAAAATAAACAATGTTAAAAACCAATATGACAAACCATGAACAAATCAATTCAACAAAGACAGACACATCACTTTATCAAAAAACTTACAAATTATTGTAAAAAAGAATGATCAAAAATATATTATACTTCTTGAAAACGAATGAATTTATAGGTAACCTATCACTTTCCCCAAATCCTTAATAAAATATTTATTAACTCAAACACATATGTAATTAAAACTGTATAAAAGTTATGTTGAAAAAATGTAACTATTATTTTACATGATGATTTATTCACAAAGCAATGCTCAAGTTTTTAATCTACTACATGTATTTGATTTTCATCACTTTTTTTTCGCTACGCTCAGCTACAAAGAGGTTGTCTCTAGTGTCCACACATAAACCCCAGGGATTCTGTAGATTACAGTTGTCAATGTAACGGAGGAACTGTCCGTCCTGATCTAGGATGTGGATACATTTGTTACGCAAGTCTACTGTCAGGATCTGGCTCTGGCTGTCTGTTGTGATGCCGACTGGATTAAATGAATTGAAAATGCAGGGATGACCAATATATTTAAATCGAAGTTTTCCTGCCTGATTGACTACCACTAATTCTCCGCTTCCATGGTCAGCCACGCATATATCAAGATTCCTGTTCTCACTGATATATTTAATATGGTTAAATGAATACAGAGGTTTACTTTCACTATCAAACTGAATGGTTTGTTTTACTGTTGAGCCCGAGTAACGGACAACTTTTGATTGTCTATAATCATCACTGACCATGGTAACCAGGATATCATTAGAGGAGGTACTACAGACATAGTAAGGTTTCCACCCCTGTAGTTTGATAACTTCCTGTATCCGTTTATTCTTCACTATGTTTACAGTTCTCGTATTAGGGTCAGTATAAACCAGATCACCCGTCGTTGTCACTGCCATGTCACATGGTTCTTTTCCAGACTTGGTTTGGATTGACTTCAGTAGTCTGCTCTGGAGGTTGTAGAGTTTCATGATTTTGTCTTCTCCTCGTGTCCAGATTTCTTCATCACTTTGACAAGTAACACTGTATAGGAAAAGTGAAAAAGTTCTTATGATTGTGGTGATCTCTGGCTCAACAAGCAATGTTTTAGCAGGAGGACAAGATACAGCTTCTGTTGTAATCATTGTGTAACCACCTTCTTCCATTGTAATGGATAATGCCGACAATGAACCAAACATTGCATGAAGCTGATCTGTGTTGATATGAAAAGGAGAGAAACTTGGTAAGGAAACTTTGACTTTAGGAGGAAAACATTTGAATTGAGCATTCCTGGATTTGTAAGCCGGTTTAAGGGAGACATCACTGGAATCTAGTATTTTTTTCAGATCAAGAATACTCTGGTTTACATCAGAAATAATTTTTTCAATTTCTTTTTCCTGTTTATTCAGAGCATCCAGGTGTTTAGATTTCATCTCATCAATTTCAGATTTTTGTTTCTTGACTATGGTGTTAATTTCTTTGTGCCAGTCTTCTCCTTGTTTGGCAACAGCTGTTGTCAGTTTCTCATAATGTATTTCCGCGCTTATTTTTTCAGAGTTTAATTCAGATTTTATTTCTTTATAAAAAGGATCGATTCTGTTTTCTAATTCTTGTAACTCCTCTTGTAAATCCTTTGCTTTATAATTTCGTTTTTGACGAATATCAGATATATCATGTCCTTTATGTTTACCAGATGAGATGCAGATTAAACAGATAGGAATGTCACATTTCTCACAGTAAAGTTCACAATGTTTCTCAGTGTGAATTGTACATGTAGGGTAGTTATGAGTCGATGTTCTGTAATTGTATAGTACAACTTTGTGTCTCTTAGATGAATCAGAGAGATGTTTTCCAACACAGCCTATACAGAGATTTACATGACAAAGTTCACAGTGACTCTGTAATGCAGCTGTTTGACAAAGGTCACAAAGGAGGATGTCTTGGGCTCGGGGGTCCATTATGTATGTCTTGGTCGCAAAATGAAGGTAAACCTGAAATATTTTGTATTAAATATTATAACTGATAACGAGAGAAAATTGAACAACTCACGTAGAATTTGTAATCAGTTCAGAAGTGAAAGTGATAAAATTGTAATATTGAAAGTATAAAGGGCAAAATGATCAGGGGAATATTTGTTAAATGTAATAAAAGGAGGGAATACATATTACGAGCAACCCTTTAGGATTTCATTCTGCACTTTAGGACATTTATTTATAATCAAAATTATTAAAAGAATAAACATAGTATCAATATTTAAACTTGATAAAGACAGAGTTATTGAATAAACTTGAAAAAGAAACATTTGTTTTAGAAAGCACAGAATTCCAGAAGCATGAGATTGTTAAAGTGTTTTACCTGTTAAATCAACATGGCGTATCCAGCTAACGTAAAACAGTCTTCTACCTCCTATCGGCTATCGATTCAGACTTATATTCAGGTCATGTGATTTAAATACCCTGGTACCTGTAAGCTTTGGGCTATTATCTTTGACAAAGTTATCTTTTAAATATGTTTAAAAAAAATATTAAGACAATAGCAAGATACTTATGATTTAAATCTTTATCCCACAATCTTGCAACAAATTCATTTATTTTAAAGCTTAATGTCACATTGTTCTGCAGACGACACAAAATTTGTCCATTTTGGAATGTTGGAATGCAAAATATCTTCTCTACAAAATGTTTGTAAAGGAAACAAATGGTCTTATCACAAGTGATAAAGTGCCTTTTTTTAAGGCGATATTCTCCTGTATTGAGAGGTTGAGATTTCAAACGTGTAGGTGTACGGGTACGTCTAGTAGGGGTATAACCTAAATTTTGTGTGTATTACGTCATCAATTTTAGTGACGTCAAGATTGCGACACGTTCGTAAAACTAGTAGAATGGAGTCTACACGTCAGTGAAAACGTGTAGCTTTAATAATAAAAATTAGCCAATTTAAGTGTGAAAATGTGATTGTTATTCATTATAAAGGATGTTTACTTTCACGAGCACTTATTTTCATCAAGTTTTGTTTACTAACTGACGACACAAATACATTCTAAATAGTTGAAACAGAGACACCGATCGCGGTGTACACGAAAATGTTACACGTCATAAATATCTCAACAGAAAAATTTAAAAAAAAAACGTGTACGTGTACGTCAAAATATATACAAGTACACGTACGCGTACAAGTTTAAGATCTTAACCTCTCTAATGAGCAATATACAGTTCACTTTGTAGGGGAATTTGTCTGATGTTAATTGTTATACAGTTCACGGTCGTAAGTTAGAGTATTTTCATAATAAGTTATATACAATCAACTGTCGTAGGTGAGAGAATCAGTATGATTATTAATATACAATTTGCTTTTGTGGTTGATATAATCCTGATAGTATATAAATGGTTAAATGGTGCCTGTTTTGGAGGGTTACAGTTGAAATTGACATCCCAAGGAAAACTATTGTCAACCGATGCGTCAGCGGAGGTTGACAATGGTTTTCTGAAGGGTGTCAATTTCAAGTGTTACCCTCCAAAACAGACACCATTTATTTTATTATACTGAATGTCTTCTTAATTTAGGATGTCAGAAATATAATCGTCGATCGTCTTTATGTTCACATTACGTAGGTTTCAAACTCCACGCTACAAAAAAGATTGACTGACCTCTTTATTGTTTATTTGATACTCTAAGAGTCCTTTATCATGTAAAGTTTCGTTATTTCTGCACTCGCAAGCATGTTTCGTCTTTCGTTTGTTGTTTTCAAGAAAGCTACATCGGACTCAAGCTTTTATTGACATCAAGTTTATTCCGGTTCTTTTAAACGCACGACTGACGTTTAGAGAAATTTACGGTGGACCGTACGCGCATAATTTCCACGCATGTGACATTACCGTTATGTTAATCGTTGTCACGTGTGTTGCTAAGGCTGAGGGTAATAGAACAGATTGTTAACTGCGTCTAAACCAATCAGATTTTAGTATTTAACATGAAAGTATAATAATATACAATAATTGACTTTTCATGTGGTTACCTAGCTCGTGACTTTACGGACCTGGTCAGGTATTGGTTCAGGTAATAGACTGAATTCAAATGTAAATAGCCGTTTATTAAATAATTAGGAATTTTACAACATTTTTTGGCACTTTTGGCACAATGAAATACATGTATAAACACTCAAAATGAATAATATAATGCGTAGTGTAACAACACAATATAATTGATTAAGAGCTAGATTCACTTTATGCTTAAAATGACACTGTACTTATATCAAATAATTAACTATCACAATTTTTCCCATTTCATATATCAAAATAACGTAGACACAAAAAAAGTTCTTTTTGATCTTCAGAAACAGATTTTTCATTATGAATTTGCATATTTTGGATCAGAGGTTGTGCTCGTAATGAAATATTTATATCATGAAATAAATACAGTACCCGCATCGTTATCTTTACAGGATACACGATACGATAGGATACACGCACGATACGATAGGATACACGCACGATACGATAGGATACACGCACGATAGGACAGGATACACGCACTATAGGATAAACGCAAAACACGATAAACGCAAACACGATAGACCTGATAAACGATCTTCACGATAGGATAAACGCAAAACCTGATAGGATTGTTTCAAAATGCGGAACGTTTTCTGACAAGACGAAAAGATTATTTTAAATTAAATTCAAAGATTAAAGATTATTTAAATTAAATCATATTTTAATTCAAATACTTGCAGAGCTTCAAATCTAAACTATAATGTATATTAAATTATTATAAAAAGAACTTGAGATCTCTGTGGTAATTTTACAAAAGTTGTTTATTTATTTTAAAAAAAATTGACAGTGATTAAATGGATTATTATAAAATGAGACTTTAATTTTTTTTATCTTCTTCTCACGGGTGTGAATTTTGAAACTCTGTAAACACATTTATTATTTATGAAAAAATATGCATTTTAATTTTATATCTAATAAATTTATCTACAAGTACCAAGTAATTTCACGGAAGAAATTTACGCAATAAAGTAAATATTTGTATTTAATGTCTAAAGCTTACAATCAGCGATGTATCCAAAAATCGCAATTAAATATTAATATCTTACCAAAAAAAAAAACAAGTAAAAGACCGGCCGAAAGAAAGGTTCAAAGAAAACGGCTTTAGCAAAATTAATAAATTTAACATGATAGATCTTTCAAGAACTAAACAGTTCAAGAAAATTATTTCCTGAATAGAAATCTAAATAATTGTTAAAATAATGGCGCTCTGCATTTATACATGTACATGTAAACTGTGTCATGAGAATATGAATCTGCTACAACTGCACATGTACGTTTACGCTAAGCTCTGACTTATGTACATGTAAACATTTATATATCAGATACTTAAAACCTCGTATTTACTAATGAACATTGAATGGTTAAGTACTTTTTTCTTTACAATACAAAACAGGAAAATTAATTTACAAATATTAAAAGAGTGAAATGCGACTTTTCCGACTAAATAATAATAAATTATTGCTATTAAACTCTGTGTGTACTGTTTCTAATAATGACAAAAATATGATTAATTCGGCAAATGAATTATTAAACCTTAAAAATTATTTTAGACTGACCCGGTTATCTCATATGAGGCATATTTGAAGCTCGGGATGGTGAAAGTCCGTAACCAATTTAAAATTAGATAAACAAGATCTAACTAAATAGCCAAAAATATTATTGAATTCTTAAATAAAGTTGTAAACGTATGGAATTAAATCGATAAATACTATAAATTGATTCGGTGTATATATTTACTTGTCTTGTACGGTCACGGCGGAATCAGACGACTTCCTTATGTTTTATTTTTATAGTAAAATACCGTAAAAAAATAATGCGAGCTAATTTTCATAGTTTAGAATGTTAGAACTATTTCATCCGTTTCTACGATCAATGAAATTGTTTTCTAGAATTAATTTTGTCCGTATTACGTAGAAAACCCGATGATCCGAAAGTTCATGTACCATAAGTGCAGTATTTTTTTTAAGTTCATTAAAAGACTTATTTACATAAACATAATGGAAACATTGTACGAAATGAAATAAATCAGCGGAGTGAGTTTAGGGATTTTAATTTATTAAATTGATTTATTTGAATTTTTATTTAACATTCAAGCAATGAGATGATTTATTAATCCATAAATTGTACAATTATTTAATATATTTTAAGTTAAATCTTTGATAAGATTGTTCAAACAAGTTAAGAACAAAATCCCGAAAATAAGTAGATGCGTTTCATATGAACCAGGTAGTATTCGAGGTTTCTAATTGACCCCAGGTGAGAAATCAGTACAGGTATGTTGACGGTGATCACACCGAGGTGTCAGTTAGGGGAGAACGGGGAGGGGGTGGTTGACCACAATTAGAGAGCTACGTATCAGTTTTCTGGTAAGGAAAGGTCCTCGATTTATTTTGATTTTTGGCATCCCGATGGATTGTGTTTTCAGTTTATTTCCACGCCGAAAAGGTAAGCTATTAAAAAGTCTTGTTTTTCCCTGTATATATTATTTTTATGTTATCTAATGCCAGATAAAATTAATGAACAATATTGCATGAAAAAAAGATACATATCAATATCCTGCTTATTATTTACTTATATTAATAGTATTTAATTTTGACAAAATAAATCATACAATTCGATAAATTATTTTTTTTTAAAATAGACCAGGTGATCGATCTACTTATAATTTCATTTCCGAAAAATAGAGCTACTGTTTAAATTTTGACAATCACTCTCTGCTTTACCATGATATAATTAATTTAATTATTTATCGGTGCGTCGATTTACCCAAAAGGACCCAAAAGAACCCAAAAGGACCCAAAAGGAACCCAAAAGGACCCAAAAGGAAATTAAGAACGACCCAAAAGGACTTGAAATAATTAGAATAAATGGATATATAATAAATACTTTCATATTTTATTAAAACTAAAACTAGTTTTTTGAGGGTAAAGTGTGTGTTTGGGGTTGGGGTAGGAGGTCCCCCACCAACCCCCACCCCACCCCACCCACCCCCGATACCATATGCCTAGAACATGTCATTAAATAAAACTTATTTCTTTATTTATCAAATAAAGATAAGGTAAAACAGAAGGAGAAATAGACTAATACAATGTACTTTGTTAATTTCAGCTAAAAGATATCAAAGCATATCTGACCAGCTTTAAAATAGTATTTGATGTGTTATAAAAGTCGTATGTTATTTCTATTTATAATATAATATTCATAATTTTATTCAAATTATTAATTTTTAATGTATCATAATATATTAATTTGAGTCCTTTTGATTTCCTTTTGGGTCCTTTTGGGTTCCTTTTGGGTCCTTTTGGGTTCTTTTTGGTCCTTTTGGGTCCTTTTGGGTAAATCGACGCACCC